GGAATGATTAGTTCCACTCACCACATTAAATAGTTTCTAGTAAGGAATGATTAGTTCCACTCACCACATTAAACGTTTCTAGTAAGGTATGATTAGTTCCACTCACCACATTAAACGTTTCTAGTAAGGTATGATTAGTTCCACTCACCACATTAAACGTTTCTAGTAAGGTATGATTAGTTCCACTCACCACATCCAAACGTTTCTAGTAAGGTCTGATTAGTTCCACTCACCACATCAAAGGTTTGATTAGTTTCACTCACCACATTAAAGATGTTTAGTAAGATTTGATTAGTCTAAATTTTTGATTTAGACGTCAAAAGTTTCTTGTAATGTTTGATTAGTTCCACTCACCACATGAAAGATTTCTAGTTAGGTCTGACATTAATTTGTGTTCCAGACGTAACAATGTGTGACATTCCATACTTTGTTCTTATTATAGAAGAGAGAGAGCAAGAGTGTTTAAATAATAACACTAAATAGTAACTACAATACATATTTGAGCTTTCTTAAGATGGGAGTTATCATCTAACAGTTGTTATATTTCTTTTCTAGGTTTCTTATAAACTAAATATTTACTTACTGTTTCTGGTTTCGTGTCTTGGAAACACTGGTCTCTAGCTGAACGTGCTTCTTTACTTAGATTTAGATCTGCAAGATTAACAAGATTAAACTGAAAAGCTTTTTCTAAATGCTTATTCTTTATATCACTAAGGGAATTTCATACGGAGGATTCTGGAAATCTTTCTAGTCTTACTATATATATTATTACAAGGGCTATCCCCTGTAATGCCTGTTAGTCCTTAGGTTGTTTTTACTGTTAAAGAAATACTCCCAGCTTCGACAGGGTCGTAGCTCAGAACAAGGATTTTTTAATCAATTCACTTTTCAACAATAAATGCACAAATATGATTTTTTACACAAATAAAAGTGATGACTTACAACCTGTGAAGCTCGTAGTGTGAATTTCCAACTTGAAACTTAGGTTGTGGTGATGCTAAGCCTAAATTCAGAGCAGTAATTTCTCAATCAGCACATCGGATTTTGGTAACACCCACATATTAATTTTAAACATGAATGGCTCAGAGATGGTATCGGTTTGTTATAACGTCATTTTATCCAATACATAGCATTAACATCTTTCACAAAGAAATTCAGCAAGTCCATATGATTGTGGTGATACTATCTAGGAAAAGTGACAGTTGGTAAAAGAGTAGCCCAAGAGTTGGCGGTGGGTGATGATAACTAGCTGCCTTCCCTCTAGTCTTACATCGCTAAATTAGGGACGGCTAGAGCGTGTAGCTTTACGCGAAATACATAACAAACAAACCTTTGTGTAAAGACCCCTGGCGGCTCTGCAGTAAGCGTATGGGCTTATTACACTAAACTTAGGGGTTCGATACTTGAGGTAGGAACACAGCAGATACGTAATTGTGTGCAAACTTTTACTAGTTATTAAAATTTCATGCAGTTTTTCTCTAGTGCTTCCTGCCTTAGAATTATGAATTATTAACGTCTTGTAATGCGTGTAAATATTTATTGTAACATGTATATACAAAACTAATTACATTTGATTACTTTTGAACCAGTTATCTTACTGGTAAACAATAAATAAACTATCTTACTGGTTAACAATAGATAAATTATCTTATTGGTTAACAATATATAAACTATCCTACTGGTTAATAAAATATAATTTGTCTTACTAGTCAACAATAAATAAGTTAGTTTACTGGTTAATGAAATTATCTTCCTGAGTAACAATAGTTAAATTATCTTCCTGATTAACAATACATATAAATTATGTTACTTGTTACAATATATAAATTATGTTATTTGTTTCAATATATAAATTATCTTATTGGTTAGCAACTGATACGTTATGTCACTGGTTAACAACTGATAAATTATCTTGCTGGTGAACAATAGCGAAACGCGTCATTCCTTATTATAGAGTGACCAGGTTGTTAGCGTGACGGGCTGTAGAGCGAAAGGTTCAACGTTCGAGCTGGGATATGCGGTAGTACGATCCACACTTTTGGCTGTGGGAGAGTTATAACCGTGACAGTTAATCCCGCTATTCGATTAAGAGCATGCGCATAGGTGGCGAGTGCTGACAACTATTTACCTTCCCTCTGGTATTTGACTTAGCTCTTTAGCTCATGTGTCTCGTAAGATATCCGGCGGTAATACTGAACACAGTTTCTAAGTATGCATGTTCATTTGTTTGATTTCTAGTTCACAGCTTCCAAATATAAACAGGTATAACAATAAAAGGTGTTATTATAAAATTGGTAAACAACGATTTATAAGTATAACAAAGTGTTTTATGTTGGCAGGAACATACTACATATTTCTACAGAACATTGGTCAGGTATGATTTATAGCCAAGCGTATAGGGTTTATATGCAAGTATAAAGATAAAAGACTCAAAGGTTTAATGTTAAATATAAACCCTATTTACTATTATTTTGACATAATGTGCTTCCATTCTCAAGAATCAAAGGTTAAGTTGGACTTTTGTCTTATACTAACTTGATATTAGACAGTCGTGCTTTGCTTATCTAAATTATAGCCTACACTTTCAATAATTAAAATGTTTTGAACTTCATACAAACCACAGACAAGGAGATTATACACCCTAGGATCTCCGAAACCAGACACGGGATCAAACATCGGCGGAGGTCGCTGCGATACACAAAGTACGACGTTCAACACAATAACCAACAGTTGCACTCGGAACGGCATGCTGACGGTGATGTTACCGGTGGTGGCTAACTGAACTAGTGATTTTTCAAAGAATTTAATTAATATGGTGCCTAACCAACATGAGAAAGTACGTCACTCTTCCCTGTTCAGTGTTCCAGTTTCCCGCACACTTTTTTTGTTGTTGATGTTTAGAGGAGGGAAGGTTATTTGGCTCATAATTTAAAAAATATTCACTACAGACCTATTTCCGCTAGGATCGCTAAATTTAGTAATTCAGGACAACACCTAGTGTCGGTTAGTGAAGATCCGATGAGCTAACGCTTGGCTGCTCACTGTGAGTCACAATGGATGTTATCAAATCCGTCTACTGACCTATCAGCAACAAACCCGTTGTCTCTCTCCTATTGTTCTAACCTGCTGCATTTGGTACTGTAACTGTTTTTCAAAGTAATTACAATAAAAATAATTCAAAGCGATGCAGTTTCACCCTAAAAATTATACTGTTATCAGCAACTGACATTTTTATTCTAAAATGACATATTAATCTTGTATTTTCGATATACTTTGAGGGGTTCCTTTTTTTTTCAGTTTCGTGAAGAAACTTTTAAAAGTAGATTGCAAGTGTTCCATTGCAGCAAATAATAGTACAATTCCGAAATGTATACTGGCTCGGGTAAATTAGGTAAATTGTTCAGAAGTATATCTTCGGAAACGATAGGGCTAGATATTGAAATACATGATGAAAAATGAAAACGTTCAACACATATGGAATGTGTTAGTAATGGACCAAATCGTTCATCACACGTATTGAATGTGTTAGTAATGGACCAAAATTTTCAACACATATTGAAGGTGTTAGTAATGGATCAAATCGTTCAAAACATATTGAATGTGTTAGTAATGGGCCAAATCGTTCATCACACATATTGAATGTGTTAGTAATGGACCAAATCGTTCATCACACATATTGAATGTGTTAGTAATGGACCAAAATGT